GTCCGACGTTCTCCGAGCGCGCGCGTATGTGCGTGCGTGCGTGCGTGCGTGCGTGCGTGCTGCATACGTGCGTGCGTGTTCCTCGTCCGAAAAAAAACTGCGGGCTGAAACTCTGATGTGGATGGACATGGTTTCATCCGGAGACACTCACGCGAATATAACGAAAAAAAAACAATGCGACGCGCGGTCGATAATATGACCGCTGTAACGTTACGCGCCTCGCACGATTACAAGCACTAGTACACGCAATCCACAAACAAGCGCACTCTCTGCCCGCCGATATCAGTCACCACTTTTTGACTCAATAACACTTACGTAGACTCCGGATATTCTATTTTATCTGCGTTCTAGTTCTACACGGGAAGGATGATTTTGTTGAAGTACCTAAAAATTTAGTCGGATATAGATCTGAAAAAATACACCCATAGAAGAGATTTTCTGGTTTGATGATATTATTCTTCGATCTGTTATGAAATAGAATATATAAGGGACGATCATTTTATTGTTAGCAGAAGAATATTTTACTCTTAAATGGAAAATTTCATGAATCTAGTATAAAATGATCTTGGTCATCGGTTTCGCGCTAAATATTATGACGTCAACATCATTTTTGTATCACATTGGGTAAAGATTTGTTCTAAAGACTATATAAACTTTATATCATTACTTTTAACTTGAGACAACAAATCAATAAATAAGTTACTTTTGATTCAAAACAATAAGTTTTAATATTGTTTTATTTTTATGCTACATAAGATAAAATTAAGTCAAGAATATTTTTTTATTTCGTTATCAAAAATCCTTTCTGACAGGATAATTTTGTTAGATTGTAAAAATAATTATATATGACGCTCAAACTGGTTGCTAAAATGTTAAAACTTTGCATGCTTATCATACTTGAGATTTCTACGTAATTAATTTGATAGTTCAACAACATTATTTTCCTCTTCAGTTAAATTTTTAGATATTTTAGCAAAACCGTGCTTGTGTCGGTTCCCCTCAACGATGTATCGTCAATTTACCATGAACGAATCTCTCTATCCTTTTAATTGCTCTCGTGATAACTGCCGTCTCCCTCGATCTGTATAGGATTTATCGCGTCGTCGCTTCGAATTCGTTCACCACGAGCAATTTTTCCTCGATACGATTAGATAAGGCTCGACGTTGATCGCGTTACGAAGAAACTCATCGATTATGCCTTCCACTCCCGCAGGAATCTATCCGTAGCTTATCTCATTTATTACGCCCCTGTTTCGTCCTCGTTCGACGGTTACTTTACAACCCTCAGATAGGGGCGAGTAACGTCTTTGTTTTCACCGCAACATCCTGCAACCGCGGCGAAACCCTCCCATCGTTCACGAACCGTCTCGGTTCGCGAAACGGAACGACAGGAGTAGGATAGGAATAACGCGAGATAAGAAACATCGAAGCTTCGTCGATTGTCTTCTGTTTTCCCTCTGTGAATCGTAGACTAAAGTCTTTTAATAAGCGAATTAAATCGCGCTAATTTGATATTTAACAAGTTTCTTATTAGGATCATTAAACGGTATTATGTAAGTGGAATATATAATAAGTAGAAAAAATAAAATAACATATTTATTTTGATTTTACTTATTTTGTGATCGTAAAAATATTATTTTGTATTAGAACGGATGATTGGAACAGATACACATTTAATAGATAGTTTTAAAAATTATTTAAATTTTTTTAGTCATTGATATTTTTTTGTTTAATTTAATCTTTTAGAAAATTATAAGTCTATAATAGCTATGTTGAACAGTAATACATTTTTTTTCTGCTAAAAAAATGACAAAAGAATTAAAAAAACGATCTTTATACCAATAGATATTTTAAAATTTGAATACTATTGATAAAACTACAAGTTGAGCAAGAATAGAAAAAATAGAAAACAAGTCTTTGAGAAGAGAGAAAGGGACTTCAGGTCGTTTGAGAAAGGAGATTGGCTTGGAAGAGAGAATACCTAGTTGTTAGCGAGCGCGAGGCACTCGGGGGCTACTAGATAAGGCGTGGGCATAAACGTCCGCAGATAAGGGTAGTTTGCACCCCCGTTGTGGACAGTTAGCCTTAAATGAGTTGGGGGTGAGACATGTAAAGGCCTTTGTTGTGTTGGCTTCGTCTTTCCCGGCTTTCGAAATCAGTTTCGTCGCTAGCTATGATATTTCATCAAACATCGAGAGCTCGGCGATAAGAATCGAACTGTCAGACAAACTATCTTCATATTAAATTGAAGATATCTTCATATTTTATTTAAGGCTCCTGGCTATTCATTGTAGTCATTTTGTAGTCATTCATTGTAATGTTAGACGCGAGAGAAATACATAAAGAAAATTCTTGCAAATTATGTTAAAATGTAAATATTTTTTAACAAAACCACATTTGCAATCGACTGAATGGATTTGTGAAATATATCGAATACTTCTCTTTTAATTATGTTCCGGTAATCAATAAGGCATACATTTGAAAATTAATTGTGTCTAATAAAAAAACCGAAATAAGCTATACGATAGCTATCGAAATGAGGTAAATATAATTTTATTCCGAAATAAAAGGAAAGTTTCCGGTTTACTTCCAATGTAAAAATTATTTTATTGAAAAATATTTCTGTCTAAATGTATCTAGCAAGAATTTTCATTGTGTTTTTACCTTCATGACATCCATCTAAATATCCATGAGTGATTAGGAGTCTTAACGATCACGGTGTTACTAATAAAATATTTTTATTGTACTTTATAGTACTGAAAAACATTTTTAATCTACGTGTTATATATTCATAGATGATGATTCTAATTGCATTTTATGTATAGCTTCTCATTGTACAGTTAATTTTTCCTTTTTCTTACGTGATAATGTTATTCAATCTTTTGAATGTCTGACAATCCGTCTCACGTAAGTCTTCTTCGGCCAAACCGGGGATGTGAATTTGTTTGGATAAGAGGCGCACAGAGAAAGCGCTGCACACACAAATCTGGCGATCCGGCGATCCTTCACAAATGCCGGCCGTACAAAAATTCTGTTTCGCTCCGTTCTAAATTCCGCTTATCTAACGGTGCTTCGACAGTAATGTGCCAACGTATTATGTAGAACCGTGCACTGTCGGGGCCATCCCTTTTGCCGTGGAAGGCCACCGAGCAGCGGTGCCGTTTAGCGTCAGATAGCGGAAACGTATGAGGGACGGGGTGAATTCACCCTTATCTTAAGGGTAGCTACTCAATAGCTAGCCGCGCCGAAATTTCTCTCACATTTCTCGCACCCACGCTATCTATGCTCGCCACACGCATCTCCGTTCTCACAATTATTTCTTGCGCATTTAAATTATTTTGTCGTTTTCTCTTTTATGGCGAATGATCATTACGCGAAATTACAACGGTATGCATTTGTATACGACATGTGCGAAAATGTTAAAAAATTGATAATGTATCAAATAATTTGAAATGCATTGTTATGTATGGTATCTAATTGAAATATTGATAGGTATACTAAAATACGTATATAAAGCTAATATATATTGTTATTATAAAATTAATAAATAAGTGTAATGGGCTTTCCACAATAAGCTACCTAAGTTTTAAGTCTTAAGAAATTGACCAATTACAGTCGAATGTGAGAAGAATAATCAACTACGGTCAATTTCTTACTGCTTAAGACTTAAGCTTAAATAATGGTTTATTGTAGAAAATCTATAATAGATATTTGTATCCTTTTTTTACATTCACTATTGCTTCAAAAGTGACACTTTTTTTTCACATTTACTATATTATCTTGCTTCAAAAGTATAACTAAAAAAATTACGTTCCCCAAAAAGAGGAAAAACTATAGTCGTACTTTTCAGGTGGATAAAAAATTGTTGACTAATCAAATAATATCGGCAAAAAAATATTATATTCTCAACATGATCAAATACCATTTTTGTTTCACCATTTTTAAAATTACTTTTTGAGTTGTGACAGTATTGACAATATTTTATGAAGTTAAGCTAGTTAAGCTTTTTGATAACTAATAAGATAATGTTTATCTAACTTATTCATGATAATAACTCAAAAATCACATTTTTTAAATAAAAAAGCGATATCTCAAAGATTAATTTCGTCTTGTTCTCGCTTAAAGAATTCTATGAATATTCGTCGAAATTAATATGAAAAACAAACGAAGTAACTCGCAGTATTGGGCGCACGCGCATAATTTAATGCACGGCGGTAGAGGAGCCACGAGGTGAGTTCTATGGGACGCTTAGGGTTACTTATACTTCGGTAGGGGTATGTGGGTAATGTGCAGGAGTGCCTCCGGGTAGGTGCTTGCGGTAAATCTAATAACGTTGTAATGCCGTTATACCCCCCTCAAAGTTGGCCCGTAAGTTTCTGCGGAGCCTGTTGGCTCCGACTGCCGTGCCGAGAATTCCTAACGCGTGTACCATTTTAGCTGCCAACGTGCGTATGTACTAGTTAGGATCTACAGACTCGAGAAAAAAAAACAGAAAGTTTGAGACGAAGGAACACAAGCTGTGTGAGTTCATACATCTCGACGCAATTCTCTGGTATTTATCGTGAGAAAACTTTTCGATCTCCGAGCACGAAAATTCTTGTGACTATGCGAATCTTGAGTTTTTGTATTAATAAACCATACTTGATTTATAATTGAATGAATGTGTTAAAGAATCGTCGAAGTCATATATAGTCCATCAAGTTATTGAGCTACATGGAAAAAAAGATTTTGCTGAAGTATAAAAAAATTTAGATAGATACGGATCTGAAAATAATTTTGTTAAATTATCAAAATAATTACGTAGATAATTCAAACATAATGAATAATATTGCAAAAAGTTTTGATATTCTAATAACTAGCTTTATTATTAACGTCCTACATAATTACTTTGGCAATCCATCAAAATTATTTTTAGATCTGTATCTCGTTAATATTTTGGATACTCCAGCAAAATCGTTCTTTCATGTAGATACAGATCTGAAAATAATTTTACTGGACCATCAAACTAATTATGTAGGAAACTCAAGCATGATGTGAAATGCTGCAAAGAGTTTTGATATTCTAGCAAGAGTTTTGATAACTATCTTGAACGTTCTAATTATTTTAATAGTCATAATAATACATAATTATTTTGATAGGTAAACAAAATTATTTTTAGATCTATAGATATATCTAGTTACATTTTCAGATACTTCAATAAAACTATTCTTTCTATATATCATAAATCGATACGATTCGATCGAAATATTGCGGAGGTAGGCAACAGGTAGCTGTTAATGCCGATCTAGCGAACTCTCAGTAAAAATTCGCGCCTTTTTAGGCGATGACGGAACACTCCTTTTCTACCAAAATTTGCCTGACTCACCTTCCGTTTCCCCTGCTTTCCCGCTTCCCACTGTCAGACGCTCTCTCTGTAGATACATGTCACGAACGAAGGTAAGCGCTCGCAGTCACCCGAGGGTGTTCCGCAAACTATGCTCGCGAAAAGTTCAACACAACTTCATAGCATCGGTGTTTCGAGGGCGAATTACGAGGGGTGAGAAGGGACTCGAAGCTCTCGGCGAAGGCATGGCGCGGGGCGAGGGGGACGAGGGAGTAGCTTGGTGGTAAATTTGTTCTAGCGTGAGCTTACATGGGTTACGTTAAGTACATAGGCGTCTGGGGCTGGTTAGCTGTTTCTACTGAAATGGGAGAGGAATATCTCTGCCTGGTGCACGAAACTTGGAGCGACCTGTAGCGCGACGAAGAGCTTGCATATTCCCGTCGCTATGAAATGTCGCCAAATTATGTAATGTAAACGGAGACGACGAGCGCCGATTTTATTGGGATGTGATAGTGTTAGGTTAGGTTCTTTATGAGATATACCTTAAAAAAATAGTCGTTCGTAGTGGCACAAAATTATTTGCGGCGACGTATAAGGTGAGCTTTATAAGTATATATACTGGAGTGATCAATACTAAACTTTAATAAACTTCCTTATAGAATATTTCCCCTCTATAAATAGAAAACTGGCTTGATGGAGAAAAGAAAGGCACTATGAGATATTAAAGAAGCAACAATAATCCGGGTAATTTCTTAAATAATATTTTGTTATTTTTCACTTCCATGTGTGTCAAAATGTAAATCTATTTCTGTGATTATTTCAAATTAAACAACGTCAAAAGTAAATTAACGTATGCATTTTAAGCTCATTTCACAATTGGTTAAATGTAATCGTAAGTGGTTATAGTCGTAAGAATTGATTAATCACAGTAGATTATTTTCTTCATATTCGACAGTGATTGGTCAATTTTTATAATTACTTACAACTATGTTTACGCTATTGTAGAATGAGCTTAACACGTTCCGGTGACCCACACTGGATTTTCCATACAGGTCGTTTGATATTTTGGCTATAAAAAAATATAATTATGAAATAATTTTTGATATTATACGTAGATATATAATGATGATATGTGATGCATTATAAAAATTATTATTAAAGAAAAAAGCCTCTATATGCATATTGGTGCATTAGAGGCTTTCTTCTTTAATAATAATTTTTACATTGTTTTAACCATTACGGAATACATGTTATTGTATAAATATAACAAACACAAATAGAAATATCGCGAGTCATTAGTGACCTACATGGTATAGTAGTCAAGTTATTTAAAATTAGCACGAAATGTGTTAATAAATAATAAACTAAATTTAATTTAAATTTAAAACATTTTCTTGAATTAAATTATTTGATTCCAGTATTTTAGTTAAATTAACGACATATTGGGTAGTGGCGACCTATAAAAATAGTTAAAAATAACTTAAATTGTATATAATTTAACATTACAAATTTAGCAGTATATAAATACTTGTCTTTCCAACATTTTCCTACATTTTAGTAGGAAATGGCAGGAAAACAGCATTAACCAATAAATAAATCCCTGACAAAGAAAACAGTACAATCCTTGTTAGGGTGTCATTGTTTAGGAATTGGGATAAAAGGTATTCTCGATGAAGGACTTCTCGATGATTGACTCTACTATACTATAGAGCTCACTCTGAGTTGGATGTATTGCTCTGTGAAATCGACTTTGATCTGTTGAACCTCGAATCGCATTTTTTCCTCGCCGTATTTTATCACCGCAAGCCCTTCCTCTTTTTACACCTCTCGGTCACACCGACGTACGTAAGCGCACTCACACGAGTGCGGAAGCAACTCGCGTTGATAAAAATCAGTAATTAGCCCGGACCATTATGGCGGCTGTGTGAAAAATTAGCGAGTCGTGGGGTAACTGCCCCTCTGGGCATAATCCTGCATCGGTAACGCCGCGTACCAGCGTGCATCCAACCTGTCTCTGATTTATACGGGTTTGCTATTAATTACATCCACCCATAGCGCACCCTCCTCGTATCGTCTCGTCGGTCTTGTCTTTTTCTCCACGTTTATCTACTTTATCAATCGTTCTTCTTTTTTAATCCTCATACGAGAGCATTTACGTTTATAGCTACTAACATTTATGCCTGTTTATGTTCATTTAAATTAAAAAAAAAAAAAAGAAATCAATGCCAATAAACGAAGCAGACTATATTCGGTCAAGGCGCCTCTTGATACCTAATAATATTTTTATATGACTTTTTCCAATTTCCAGTTCCAATGTCCAGTTAAAGAAACTGGCGCGCCGATTATCAGCCGGTCTTGAAACACAATTCTATAAATTGAAGCTAATTCTACAAATTAAAGTAATATTACAAGTTAAATCGACAAGCCAAAAATGTAATAAATTTTTCTGTAGTGTACCACTTGTATGAAATTTTAACTTGAGACTTATTAAAACATGCAATTTAATTTGGAAATTACGAAAAAAAGTTCTTTCGACATTTTGGTAGATAAATATTATGACATCGTTATATAATCTAAAAAAAAAAAAACAAATTAAATTGACATTTATAAAACGAATAAAGGGAAAAAGTATTTATACGACCATTCAAATATTCCATGAGACATTTTTACCAAATAGATCGTATCAAATCTCAAATGTCGATATTGCAACAAGCACGCCTTTCTCCGGGTCAACTTTCAACTGTCAAATGTTTTTATTTTGTTTTACACGCGCCAAAGAATTCGAGCCATCGCGCCGAGCTGAAAATTCCGTCCCGGATTTTGCGCCGGTCGTTGTTCCGACTGGCTGTTGGCCGGACTCGACGGGCTGCGGCGCAATTAAATTAAATGCTTCGGATTAATTGTTCGAAAGCAGTTAAATTAGTTGCGTTTGTTTCGCCCGATTTTTGCGCAATCTCGCTGCGGAATGCGTGAGATGCACGCATCGGGGGAATTTCGTTACCCGCGGCCCCTCGCGCGTTATATAGCTCGGTGCCCTGCGAAATCACCGCGATGCAAACGTATCAACGCGGAACGATGGCGTGCCCCGAAAAATTCATTTGCAAAAGCCGCATTCGACGCGCCTCCGTTTACACACTGAGCGAGAGGGAATACTGCGCGATCGACGCACAATGCGCGCATTTTGTCAGTACTTGATTAAAAGCTTAAACAGAGTCGACCCAATTATTAATGTAATGCACAGCGGGCAATGCAAATTTCACAATTATAACAACGAATTTGATGTATAACATTGAATTTTAAAGCGTCGTTGACCAGATTTTAGACCGCTAAATGCGAAATTTATATATAAAATCAACATTTCTATATATATATATATATATATATATATATAAAATATAAATATAAATCTTCTCTCTAATTTCATATTTATTTTAAATACCACTTGATATATAGAATGCATTCTTATATTTTATCTCATATTAAATATTACTGAGAGACAAAGGAGAGGAGAATATTGAATGAAAAAGAAAAAGAAAAAAAAACTAGAGTATATAAATGAGACATTCTCGCGTTATTGTTTCCATCTACGATGGCTCGCAATTTTCCTCCGATATCGTGGCGAAGATCCTCCTATTACCACGCATACCGGCAGCCACTGAAGACCACCCCAATGCCCCGTCTCGATGATATTCGACCGGCCAATCCCCGTCGAGGATCGCGCCCGGTATAGCCGCCAAGCTAGCCGAGAGCTGCATCCTAGAGTGCAGCTGCAGCGCCGGCGCGGACTCTTGAGCCGCATTGCTCGGATTCTGGCGAGGATGCGTCTAGGAGCGAGAGGCTGACGAGCTCGCAAGTAACGCGCCGGTAGAGACATGGTCAGACTGGCATCCGGCCGCAAACTCTCAACCTCATCGCAACCATACGCTCGGGCCCTCCCCGAGCTGGTCCTCCTCACCTACGGCTTTCGAGCTAGTCCGCCCACCCACCATAGACAGTCCTCCCCTCGTTCCTGCGAACGGGAGCGTGCAACATGTCGAGACATTCGGGACACGACGGATCGAGGAGAGATATGCATCATTTGGTTACCCGACTGGCCGACTAGCGCGTCTCCGATCGGCGTGCCTACGGATGCATCCTCGATCGGATTGGCCCGGGCGATTGGTATGCGAAAGGGTCCTCCAGTCAAGATTTTCAGCATAACTGCGCCCCGAGCATGCCGCCCGGATTCGGATCCACGAGTCTGCGTTCCGATATGTCCGCTCGTCCGCTCGTCCGCTCGTCCGCGTGCCCGTATGCACTCGTGTGCTTCGTTATCGGAGAACGTTACGTCGCCTGGTAACCGTAATAGCGGAAGAGTAATAGGGGCGCTAATACGAAATACCGTATTGGCGCACTCGTATCGAATATCTCATTCTCCGCTTTTAAGACATTATAGTATATCTGGAGTGTTTGTGAAAATATTTTCATTATTTTCTACTGAAGAAAATATTATTAATAGCTTATAACTCCAATTACAGTCCTAATGTTTGTTAAAGGAAAGATAATTGTTGATGACCAAGAAATTTGTGAATAAACGGTTTAGATTTGGAACATCCTACATCGTCTGTGCTTGTACAGTCTTCTAAAATCTTTGAAATAACACGAGATGTGAAAATTAACTCGCGTAGCATTAAATGAATCTTATGATCTGAATCACATAACTTAACTTTTATTTATTAAATTTTTATGTAACTTTAATAGGATGTTTATGACATCTAATATTTATAATATAGAGTAATCGCAGTTTACGTCAACTACTTTTACAGAAATTTAATATTGGTTTAATAGGTATTGATACAATTCAATAGAACTGAAAAATAGTAATTAATATTATTTATTTTAAGTATTAAAAACACTGTCCTGTGCTTTTAGTGCTTCAAATAATTAATTACTATTTTTCAGTAATAAATAGGTCAGTAGGTATTAACCCTTCATAGATACATCTTTTTTTATCCATTGCAGGCGAAATTTTACTCTCAAATTTTTTGGCATATTCCTCAAACCTTATTAAATAAAGGTTTTAACATTTGAGTTGAGGAACTATTTGGCAATGAAGAACTATTTGCCAGAGATGTTGAAAAGAAATGTTGAATTTTTCTAGGTTTTTTTGAAAGCCCAGAACACTTAAAAAAATTTCAGCTGAACAAAAAAGATCCAGAGTACCTACAAAGTAAATATATGTGTACTTACGAAGGATTGAGTTGACCAGTATTCGCTTTTCGTAAAGGTATAATCTTTAAGTACATTTCGACGAAGTATTCTTTCGATCCTCAGTTATGTCTTACCGATTTTTCGAAGGGGTAACTATCTTTTCTTTCTTTTGTAAGAGCTCTAATATATTGATACACGATACATCGGTCATTCGTCCGGTAGCGCGCATTCCCGACACCGAAATTGCATACCTCCGTATACGTGTACATACGGGCTGGAAACAAACGAATAGGGTTGTTCGGGCGCCGTAAAGGGTCCGGTGGGACGAGGCGCGCGCGAGGAGACGGGCGAGGGCGGGCGGGGCTGGAGATTCGCGCGGGGGTTGTAGGGAGCAAAACGGTGGTGGATGGTGGTGCCGGTGACTCGGTCGCGCGAGAGAGCGAGGGGTTTGGGAAACGTAATCGCTCTGGCCCCGCGCGCCTC